TGAAAGTGTTGCTTGGCCTCAGCTTCTTCCTGGCTTTCCTGGACCTAGGTGAGTTTTCCGCTGGGATTTGCAGGGCTGCAAGATGTGGAAGTGGTCTGGGAACAGGTGCTCTGCGCTTGGGGCTGTTGCTGCCATCTGAGCCGTAGGAACCCCTCATCTGGGGGGATTTGCACTGCAGAGGGGTGATGGGTCTCGGAGGGGCTTTGGTGCTATGAACAAATGTGCAGATGAAGATGTAGGCATTTATTTACAATGTGAACTGGCTGTCTAAGCTCCTGCAGTGGTCACTGGTGATCTAGCTGGGACAATCATGGGAGTGATTCAGGTTACTCCGAGGCAAGCAGACCTTCGGTCAGCTGAATCGATCTCCAGCCACCATTTACCACAAACTTAGGGGCTTGTTTATTTTGCTTATACCCAGGATCATGTGATATTTTAGATGCTATTATGTGATCTCAGCTGTTCTTCAGCTCTGCTCCAGAAAAGCACTGGTGTCTTGGAGGTCTTGCGTAATACCTGCCACCTCATGTAGATGTCACAGCCACTGCAAGGTTCCTTAGATGGCACTTGGATTTAGGAAATTGACACATGTCCTGGGCCTCTTAATCTACATGCTGGACCCTTGAGTTCCGATGAGGGTGTGTCAGGGAAGATGTACTGCTTGTCCTCTGTTGATAAACACTTTATTCCTTTCTAAGTGTTTACTGCTAACTACTTGATATTCTGGTCTGCTTAAGGTTTTCCAGCAGAAGTTGGTAAAGTGGTTTCCCCTAATGCCTACAAAGATATGCCATTCCCCAGTTTGTACATAGCACAGTCAATACCCACTGGCAGCCTCTTAATCCCCACACCTTTGGGTGCCCCTGCTTACTGCTAAGAGAGAATTTTGGGCCTGGGAATCCAGGGAAACCGTATTATCTGCCAGGATGAAGAGGTTTGTGGAGGTGCTTTCCTCAGCAACCCCAGGAAAACCAAGGAAACATCATCATATAGGAGACAAGGGACACTGGCTGGGTATTGGTGGTTAAAATGTAAAATGCTATCCCAAAATCACTTCTCTTTACTTGCCTAAATTCAAATTCATACTAGAATAAACAAGAACAGAAACAATAAAAAATAACCTACAAATCGAACAATGAAACAGCGAAAATAAGGGAAGAGGAATGTGAAGAGTGCTGATCAAATTCTGAAGCAAAACATCAATGAAAGGGGAAGTGAGATCTCTCATGACTGCTATCGAAGAAAGTGTCCTCCTTTCTTCCCCAGGGACCTCCCTTCAGTGTGAGGCTTGTTACAGCATAGCAAAAATGTGCTCTGGCCCCATGAAAACCTGTGCTGATGGTGAAGATACCTGTGGCGTCATTCTCCATGAGGTCTTGATAGGTAGGTGAGACATCCACTATGGCTATGTGCCAGTGTGGCTTTCAGAGTGGGGATGGGGGACAGATCTCTCTCCTCACCTGTGTTACTGGCCTTATGGTGAGTCCTTGGATAAGCTGTATATTTTCCTTTTCACTGACAGACGACCCACAGGTCAGGATGATCCGGGATGGGAAAAGCTCTTTATTCCTCTCTCTCGAGCAGCAGTTTCCTACTGGGAGGGCTTGGTTCTTAGTTGTGGAGGGGAGGACCATACTGGGAGGAGACATTGGCTTTTAAGTCTGGCTAAGGTGAGTAGTTGGGTCAAGAATCTGGACCATGAAGGACACAAGGCTGCTGGCTTCTAGAACTAAATTCTAGATTCATTCTAAATTCTAACTGATAGTGCATTGGCCATGAGTGGAGAAAGAAACTGGCCTACATCTGACAGGGCAGGGAAGGGGACACCAGGCAGCCTAATGGCACCACCAGGGCTGAGCTATCACCACATCCCCATGGTTGATAACCCAAAGACGGGTGCCGAGCCCTGATACAACTGCACACTTGGTTGTGTTAGTGGCATGGTCTTGGTCATGGCCCAGCCTCAGTAATGTGACTGTTGGCTTTTAGGCTCGAGGTAGTCTCATATCCTACCAGCTTTGGTGGTGTCAGCTCCAGCGCATGTCTTCCCTCTGCTTGTGCAGGACCACCTTTCCTCCCAGCACTGCCTGGGCTTCCGCAGACTGCAACATAACTACTCTGTCCCCTGCTACACCTTTTGGGTTTGGTTTCTGGGAAAGGCTAGACTTGCCTGCGTCAGGATGCTTGTGGCTGTGAAGGACTGTGTGCTCTGCGGACTGTGCGTGAAGAAGGGTGGGCTGCAGGTCAGGGGTGCATGGGTCACCCCATAAGCTCTGTGGCTGGGGGACATTCTGGTGAAGACAAGCATCTGCAACAAGGCCAGCTGGCTGTGAGCAGTTGTGCTCTCCTCCTGCCTTAAAGCACAACGTGGAGAAGGAGAAATTCCTCACTAGTGTCTCAGATGTGACAGCACCCTCGCTTCTCTGAGGGGATCACCAGGATCACCAGTGATGCTTTCGGGGTGGCTCCACTCTCCCCAGACTCTTTTCAGTCCCCTGGCATGGCTGCTCAGCCGCTGCTGCTGCAGGAACTCCTGGGAGGGGAAGGGAGTTACCCTGTGGTTAATGACTTGACGCTGCCTTCCACTTCATTACAGGGGGAATGGCAATCCCTTCGTTCATCAAGTCCTGCCTGCCGTCCCGCATGTGCAATCTTGGCCCTGTCACCATGAACTATGGGAAGGTGAAAGCAAGGAGCCACTTGGCTTGCTGCACAGGCGACAGCTGTCAAACAACCTCTGTGTCCTGTAAGCTCCTTTTTTTCCTTACACTCCATCCGCTGACTGTCTGCCCTGACCTGAGGCTTTCCAGGCTAAGCCATCACCTCGCTCTTTCTTCTCCTTCCCTCATTAAAACCAATTACAGCCCATCTCTTTCTTTCCAGTGCCACCAGAGGACAACGTGCCCAACGGATACCAGTGTCCTGCCTGCTACAGCGTGGACTCCTTCCAGTGCGGTAATGAAATTGTAAACTGCACCGGATCCGAGACCCAGTGTGTTGACCTTGCTGGGTTAATGAATTCTGGTAACTGCCTTTTATTTGAGGCTGTCTTTCATTTTTTTTTTGGTTAAATGGATGAAAACTGTCTAAGATGAAGTATCACAGAGATGTAAAACTATGCAAAAAGCATGAAGGAAAAAAAGAGGAAGAGGCATGGAACTGAAAGAGAACATGCTTAAAGCTGATAAAAGGACGGGGTGTTCTCTTTCTTCCTCCTTCCCCGTTATGAACGGATAAGTGTTGGGATTTGTTATAGCATGGCATAACTGATGTCTAGAGCAAAACTGGACTCCTGAAGCAATCTGATACATGGGCATGTAATATATCTGACCAAGACCCTGAACCTACTGGCCCTAGCTAGGAGACACGAGGATGAATCTGGATCTAAACCAGCTTCCTGCTTAGTGGAGGTTCAGATGAAACTAATACAGAGCCCTCAGCTTTCTCATAAGGTTACACTGGCCCCTGGGGACAAGACACTGTTGTAGTGGCTCTTCTGCTCCTAGAGAGCCAGGGACAGATCCCTCCCCATGAATGCTGCAGCTGAGCCTTTGGGGTACCCAAAGATCTTAGAATCATAGAATGGTTAGGGTTGGAAGGGACCTTAAAGATCATCTAGTTCCAACCCCCCTGCCATGGGCAGAGAAATTCTCCACTACACCAGGTCGCCAACGAAATCCTCCACAACAACCAGGTTGCCATCTTCCCCGCGAGGGAACTCCAACCTTTGAACGGCTGGGGTCACCAGCAGCATGGAACACTCTCCTTCAGAAAACTTTTTCCCATCTCAGGAGCTGTAATTAGAGAGAGGAAAGTAGACAGCAAGCTCCCTGATCACTCCTCTTTCCTCTTCTGCCTCAGTTAAAAGACTTTCACGTTTGCTGGCAGTCCTGCCTGCACTCCAACAGGCAGAAAAATAACGTGGAAATCAAGGGCAGTGGCACCTGTTGTAGAAGCAGACTGGAAAGAAATTATCTTGCATATGGTTATGAGTTGATAATGTTGCTAAGTGATGATATGATGCCTGAAGGTCTTTGCTATACATTTGAACAATAGATATGTTGTTCAAACCCTGAATTGGAAGGTGTTTTGCAGAGATGATGTGAAGGAAAACAAGCATTTTCTTAGTCACAGCAATGGAAACAGAGTGGTGTGATTTATTCAGTGCACCACTGAAATAAAAAAATGCTCCAAACTTGTCTTGACTTGATTGATTGACTGCTGTAAATAGAGGAGACCTGCGTGGTGTGATGAGCTGTGCAGAGGAAGCAGTGGTGTAGGGGAGCAAAGGAAAGCGAGGAACTCATGAAGCGCCCTTATATGTTACTTGTATTCGAGATAAAAACATCCAGCAGGATACTGCAGACCTCGACAGCCTGTGCAGCAGAGAAACATGAGCAGTGTGAGCAAAAGCCAGCAAGAGGAGCAAAAATATCTGAATAGGGAGCTAGACACCCAGCACCTTCTCAGGTCTCCTTAGTTAGATGCTCTAGTGTTGGTAAAGGACAAATTCAGGTTTCAGGCTCTCGCTCAGCAGGCAGGTGAGTAGGGTTTCTCTGCTGGTTTGGCTAAATCCTGTAAGGCCTTAGAGAATGGACTTACCAGAGTAAATGACTCAGCCCGTAATGTCTTTGAGGCTTCTCGCCCCCATGCCAAATTTGGCTGAGATACAGTCATCCAGTTCAAATGTCATGAGAGGGTGAGAGAGAGAAGGGGACAGTGAACACCTGGAGTACTGTCACACAGCCCTGGTTTCTTTAGGAAGCTAGGCAAGGTTCGAACAGAATAATCTTTAAATGAAAGAAAGAAAACTATATAAAACCTTTTCAATTTTTAAATTTAAAATGTTTAGATTTAAAAACAATCATCTTTATTCACCAGAAAGAAAGAAAGTACAAACCCTAACCCCTTTGTATTTCAAGTCAACCGAGGTCACCTTTCTGCTTCTTCAAATTCTTTCAGTAGATGGGGACAGTAATGGGTTGGTGGGTTTGGAGACAACTGGGCAGAAGGAATGGGCAGTTCTTGCGGTGGAGATGGGGACCTCATTGGCCAGGGAGGGAATAGCTATGGAGACTAGTTCCCCTGATGCATGGCATGTACTTTTTCTCCCGTGTAGGCGGACTGTCTCTGAAAGCTGCCATGAAGGGTTGCACCACCATTTCTGAATGCAGTATTGCCGAAGATGGAAAAACCAATCTGGGGATGATGGGCATAAAGTTAAGGCAGTTCCAATGCAAACCAGCTTCTGCTTTGGTCAGACTGAGTTCTGGGTTTGCCCCTCCAGACACCCTCTTCCTCCCTGTCCTGTCAGGATTCATCTTGGAGAAGGTACTTTTCTGACTCTCTCCAGTACTGAGTTAAGCAAAGCCCATGAAAAAATCCAGAAGTGGTTTGCATTGAGTTCTGTTTGCTGTGGCTTCTCCTGTGTGGGGAGTTTGTTTTCAGATTAGCTCTTCTTCTTTCATAATTTCCCACAATAAAGACAGTACTTACACTTCTTTTGTTTCCTCATTGATTTAATCCAATTTAAAGCTTCATAGGTTCAATTGTGGTTGATTTCAAGTTATATTCTCTGAGAGCTTTGTCCGCACTGGGACCAGGGGAGACTGCAAGAGGTGACCATACTCTGCACAGGCAGCAGAAGCTCTGAACACAGCTTTAGAGTCTACATCCACTATCTCAGGATCAGTGATGAGTTTCAAAGCCACTTTTCTGGGCTCTGAAAAGGACTAGAGGTGAGTTCCTGAGAAGTTCACTCTAATCAGAGAGATAGCTTGCCCCTTTTTTCCCTCCCTTCTATCCTATTTGACCATGGTAGGAGAAATCCCTCAGCTCAGAGGGCTGCTTGTGACCTTTGGGCATCCCTGAAGTAACCTCCATTTCAGAGAAGAGTCAGCAACACTTTGCTGCAAGCAAACTGCTCTTGTCAAGAGCCTTTCTCCTCATGGTTGTTCTTCTTGCCTTCCCAGACACTCTCTCATTCTTCCTTAGGTTGCGTCATTATTCGAATAAACACTTCCCTTAGGGAGGTTTGGTTTCATAAAATAGGCAGTTTTCTACAGTGACAGACTGCTGGGAGCCCAAGTAATGGAAAGACGTAGCCCAATGCCTATTTCCCTTCCATTGGCCAAACTACATCCATAGCTGGTGTCTCCTCCCCTCTTCTATAGCCAACAACTACCTGCTGTTCTGCTCCATCCACCACCTGCTCTAATGGGTCTCCTCAGGGTGATCCCACACAAAGGCGCTGAGGAAAACCAGCACAGCAGGCAGCACACACCTAGGAGGCAGTACAGCCTGTGGGTTAGGGTAAAGCAGTAGGAGTTCTAGGAGATGCTGGGTGCAGAATGAAGAAGGGGTGTTAGCAAACTTCAACGTTTCACCATGCATCTGTCGCCAGATGAGCAGACTATAGGACTATTAAGCACAGTGCGTGCTTGTGTCTACCTGGACTTATTCAAAGCATTTGATACAGTCCCACATGACATCTCTAAACTGGAAAGACGTGGTTTTGATGGATGGACCACTTGGTGGATAAGGAATTGGCTGGATGGTTGCACTCCAAGAGTTGTGGTCAACGGTTCAATGTCCACGTAGAGGCCTGTGATGAGTGGTGTTCCTCAGGGGTCGGTACTGGGACCAGTGCTATTTAACATCTTTGTTGGAGACATGGACATGGACATCGAGTGCACCCTCAGTAAGTTTGCAGATGACACCAAGTTATGTGGTG